TGACTGTGACATGTGAGGGATAGAATTCTGAACCAGATCTCAATGTTTCAATTTTGCTACAGTTGGAACTGAATAAAACTGAATAAAACTGAAAACTATGAGGTAAGTATTGTTTTACGCCGCTTTTAGCCATATTCCAGCAATATTGGCGGGGGACACCAGAAATGGGCTTCACACATTGTATTCATGTCGGAAATTGAACCTGGGTCTTCGGTGTGACACGTAAACGCTTAACCACTAGGCTACCCGACTACCCAGAATAAAACTGTAAACAGATAGCATTGATACCTTGCTCAAGAAGGACAAGCTACAAACTCTGAGGACTCGTGAAATAAGGTTTATACTCGTCCACTGGACTAGTCTTTAGGAAAAAAAACTGCATTTCTAAGGCAGAAGACATTATGAATCCAGTCACAGTTCAAACTCCAGATATTTCCATAAAATATGCAATATAAATCACCATAACCCAATTAATTTTGCGCTGCTTGCATTCAAATACACATGAAAAAATGCAAAACCCAATAGTAAAACATAATTAACCAATGTATCCTTTTCAACTGTGTCTTTGTAGACCTTATTTACTGATCGATGCAGGCAGGCATCACACATACATCACCTCTACAGCTGTGAATAATGCACAAAAACGTGCACGTCACGCTTATTGATAATTAGACATAAGGATCTCTGTAGGAAGTTTACGCAACATGTTACACAATTAGGGCAGCGCTTGAATCGAAACATTTTAAGTCACCTGGAACAACATTTCAAATAATAATAATTAATTATTTTTTGTTGTTGTTGTTAAAATACACAATAGACTAGATATATATGTAGTGAATACCTAAAGAAACCTATCAATGCCCACTATGAATGATAACTTGCGCGTAAATACTTCATGGCTCAAAATTATCTGGAGCCCTGAAACTGTATTACAATGAATCGAAAAACAATATAACTGATACACAATGATAAAGCAACGATGCCTCAGTACACACAATTCCCACGATAGGGGTTTTGGTGCAAGATTTGCTCTTAAAACAAACAAGTACGTTGATCTAGGCAAAATAGTGATAACATTTCAAGATTTAATAACAATTTCACAAATATACCAAACTGGTCTGGTAAAAAGACCTCCCCCGGCCCTATAGTGAATTTATGCTGACACAGCACTTCCCGTGGGTGTGTTATCAACTCCCTGCTCCGGGTGTCTGTGGATGTCGCCATCATAATGGCCATCCTGTGATTAGACGCAGGCAACTTTTCATTGCCCCTGTACAGCAAGTGTAAGTTAAACCCCCATTATCTTGTGTTGCTTGGCCTTGCTGTGTGGAAGGGAGCTAGACTTGATACGACCAGTCTTACAGCCTCCTAAGCTACGTTAAGGAGACAAGACTGCAGGGTTGGAACAGAAAGAAATTTAATAAGGTTTCTAAAACACAACTAACGATTTGAACAGCCTGATTTCTTTTCTAATATAAACACATTATTAAACATGATGAACAATTTAGATCGGCCAAGTCCTTTTCTAACGTGTTTTTGTGTTCTACCAGAATTGAAAAGTAATTTGTAAAAAAATAGGATTTAAAACATGGCATTAGATTTATCCACTACTTTGCAGTTACAGAATAGGGTTTTTAACAGCACCAATATGGCAACATCAACGGTTAAACTTACCGAAGAATTTCAAAACTGACAACTTCCTTTCAGAAGGTAGATGAAAAATTGTTCATTCATGTAAATCAGATGTTTTCTGTTAGCTTGAAAAATGTCTGTCTTTAAAAAAAATGGTTTATTTTCCCAATTGTTGTCAATATCTAAACTTGATCAATTCAACACAAGAAAGTCAGAAACTTAACCACAGGTTAGGAAAAACCTCAAGCTCCTAATCTCGCTTCAAACATAATCCTATTATTATCAGGCAACAATAAAGAAAATTATTTTAGTAGTTCTGGTGAAATTGAGTCCATTTATCAGATCCTCGAGACATATGTTTACCAAAAAATGCTCCCTTCGCCAAGTCTATGCAGGCCCATGCTATTTGAGCAGAGCAGTAGATAGCACAGGCCCTGACCTTTCCTATCAGAGGCTTCCAGGACAAAGGGAACAGCCATAGGCTCTGCCACCACTGTTTTACACCAAACACACATTTATCACTAATGCTTTCCCCAGGGAATCCGCTTTTTAAGAGATAAAACACAACCACAAACTTAATATTACTCCCTTTTTATAGATTTTTCTAACATCCTGGTATCATTATTCTCATAATCTATTATTGGAACTCATAAACCATAAATTACCAAATTGCCCTACAGTAGAAGTCGTTTTTCAAAGTTTTTTTCTTTTCCGATTTATTGTTTTTCTCCACCGAAAAGCAACAGGGGTTTTATTTTGGTGAAAGTTATTGCACAGATTTGCAGTTGGTTGAGTAAGACAGCTTTTGTTTTTTGTTTAAGTGTATAGTTTCGTCTTGGGTGAAGTAGCAAGTCAACTGAAAGGATTGGGTTTGGAACAGAATACATATGCCTTTGAAAACAGCAGATCTAGTGTTTCATTACCCTTGATAACATTGAGCTCAAAGGTTAAAACTATTCAAACAAGTTTGCATGTATTTTTAAACAATTAAAGAGAATGAACAATATCATTTAATATATATACAAACTTTTTCATAGATACATCTTTTATCTTTCCATCACACAAACCTGATTCTCAAATGAGTCAAGAGTATATTTGAATAGAATGACATATTGGATTGTCACTATGAAAAGAGTGTAGTGTATAAATGTATTATTAAATCTTATGTTCAAAAACAATATTTCCTGTTTATAGAAATGTGCAACCTTGTTTAGAATGTTGCACAAGATGCAACCTTGTTTAAATGTTGCACAAAGTCCAGATTTCACAAAATGCAATAATAATCATCAACAATGAAAAAAAAAAAGTTATACAAATAGGCAAAGATTATTGCATGCTTTGAAAAGCTGTCTGGTAATGTATAAGTTGACCAAATGGTTTCAGTGTTACAAACTCACAAGATGAACAATTGCTCACAGAGCAGAAACAAGGAGACTGTGCACCATACACATATATAAACCATATGGTTCAGACTCTTATTCCTCCTAATGTAAGCAGGCAGGTTAGTTTACAGTACAGGTGGGCAATGCTTCGGGCCCTGCCTCTGTATAGGTATCTGTCCCTCGTTAAGGCTGTAGAGTCAGCCAGGTAAGAAGGCCCCCTCAGGTGTGCCAACTTATCTGATTAAGGGCTGCTTTCTCTGGCCACATATGGAATTTCAAAACTCCCCCCAACTGACGACCAGTGCTGTAGGCTCCACATACTTCGTGGAAGGCCATACAATTTCAGAGTGGAGGCTACAACACTTGCTTTCATGAAATGTCTAAAGGGGATATAAAGGCTTGTGTTTACCTGGAGTGGAGGCCATCATGCCTCTTGCCTCATCTGTAGACATGCTCATTTAGCATCAACAATAGCATTTAGACTTAGGGACTCCAGCTATTAATGTCTTTACTCTAACTATTCAACATTTCTGTATGGTGATAAAATGAAGTTGAATTTTTACAAAAATACCTTAACTCAGGCGGACCACATTATATATGTCGAGTCATCCCTTGCTCAAATCAAGCAGTGGGGTTGGGTAGCTAAGTGGTTAAAGTGTTTGCTGAGTGCCAAAGGCCCGGGTTTGATTCCCCACATGGAAACAATGTGAAGCTCATTTCTGGTGTCCTGCAGTGACACTGCTGTGATGCTGCCAAAAGTGGCATAAAACGACTCACTCACCCACTTAAATCAAACAGAACTGATATGGTATGCGTTGATCAGGATCATGTCAAAATAAAGTTACAATGTCCTGACCTATACATCAAGATGATGGCATTCTAGTTTCTGGTTTCACTATTTTGAAAAAAGAAATTAAAAACTGCTTCTACTAATTTCCACAAAATCACAACTCTAGCTATCCTAAGAGCCTTAACAACTGAAGATGAAGAATACATTGAAATGAAGACCACTTACATTAATTTCACACTTTCAAGATTTACAGTCCTTCCAAAGAACAGACAGAGGTTCATTCAAAACTTAGACAAATTTAGTGTTCTCAAACACGATTCAGAATTCAGAATTTCAGTCATCAGTTCATCATATTAAGTCTGGAGTAATTAGTGAGAGATTTTTTTGGGCATGCTTTGAACAATATTTATGCATTCATTTATTCATTCATTTACTCGTCTATTCAGCTTAATGTGGAAGAAACTTGTCATGCAGGTTTTATATTGTTGACCACATTGGCTAGACCCAAAAGTAAATGCGAATAGTGCTGACAAACCATGAATCGTTATCCAAGTCATTACTGATAAGTATATCTTTCATAGTTACAGTATGAAGAGTGAGTGAGTGAGTATGGTTTTACGCCGCTTTTAGCAATATTCCAGCAATATCACAGCAGGGGACACCAGAAATGGGCTTCACACATTGTACCCATGTCGGGAATCGAACCCGTGTCTTAGGTGTGATGAGCGAACGCTTTAACCACTAGGCTACCCGACCGCCCCTACAGTATGAAGAAAACAAACTGCCACTCAAGTCTGTGCAACAGGGTACAGTGGAATCAGCTCATGGCTTTTGGGTGTCATTTGTTTGGTTATTGTTCAGTGCCGCACTCAGCAAAAATTCCATATAACTACATGACCACAGTCTGTACATAATCGAGACTGGACCAGACAATCCAGTGATTAACATCATGAGCATTGACCTACACAATTATGATAGGATGACATGCATCAACCAAGTCAGCGAGTCTGACCATCCGATCACCTCAGTCACCTCTTTCAACAAGCATTAGTTGTTGAAAGCCAGTTCTTCCGGACCTTCATTGGTTGGATGCCACAGGAAAACTTAGTAACAATTATATCCGGGGATATATCTATTGGGAAGCAACATTAAATTGTTTTGTTTTTTTCGCGTTTGAAAGGTGAAGATGCACTTACATTGCGAAAACTGTTGGTAACATCCTCATCCTTCAGGTCCTTCTTCTCCAGTACAAGTCCCACAACCTTTTTCATGTGAGGGGTGGGCTTCTCCTCCAGGCTGTCCTCCTCCAGCAGCTTGAAGCTGGTGGTTTCCTTGTTTGTCCTCACCGCCATCCCTACTGCATTATGCACACTGAAACACAGGGTCATCATGGGTTATTTACTGCATTAAGCACACTGAAACACAGGGTTATCATGGGTTATCCCTATTGCATTATGCACACTGAAACACAGGGTTATCATGGGTTATCCCTACTGCATTATGCACACTGAAACACAGGGTCATCATGGGTTATCCCTACTGCATTATGCACACTGAAACATCATCATGGGTTATTTACTGCATGTAGAGCATGGGATATCATGGGTTATCCTTACTGCGTTATGGACACTGAACCACAGGGTCATCATGGGTTATCTATTGCCTGTAGAGAATGGGTTATGGGTTACTGCATGTGGATAATGGGTTATCATTAGTTATCTACTGCTTGTAGAGAATGGTTTATGATAGGTTATCTACTACATGTTATACATGGGTTATCCCTACTGCATTATGCACAATGATACACGGGGCCATCATGAGTTATCTACTGCATGTAAAGCATGGGATACCATGGATTATCCCTACTGTTTGTTGTTTAACGCCACACTAAGCAATATTCCAGCTATATGACAGCGGTCTGTAAATAATCAAGTCTGGAAAAGACACCCAGTGATTCATGTCATGAGCATCAATCCACACAATTGGGATACAATGACATGCCTCAACCAAGTTAGCGAGCCTGACAACCCGATCCTGTTAGTCGCCTCTTACGACAAGCATAGTTGCCTGTTATAGCAAGTATTGGTTGCTGATGACCTATTGTTATCCCCGCTGTATTACACACACTGAAGCATACAGAACACAGGCTATCATGGCTACCCCTACAGCATACAGACCATGGGTCATCATGGTTATCCCTCCTTCATTAAATCATTCACATAACAAAAAATACAGGACATAGGTCTACTTTCATCATGAACTGTTTCCAGCGGTAGATTACATCAAGCATACAGCTGCCATGATGAGTGTCTACTTCTCCTGTCACAAGGTCAGCATCTTGTAAACATCAGCTACCATCACCACACGATACAGACAGACAAGCCAGTACACACAGGGTGGATTTGTTCAGCATCAAAATTTCCCAAAAGACTTTAAAAGATTGTACTTGTTGTTACCCTGTCTGGATCTCGGCATTAAGGGGCTAAAACAAGGACTGGTCGGCTGGGAGTCTGTATACTGTGTCTGGGTGAGGTATTCATGTTAAACTGCAGCTTGGTTTTAACTAGCACTATAAAACTGGCATTATTCGGGATAGTACAAGCAGCAACACACGTGCATACACGTTATATATACAATAATCTTTAACAAGAACTTGAGCCCCAGTCCATCTCACCTGGTAGAGAAATAATTTACAATTTAACAAACACAAAGGGCTGTATGTTCCTGAACTCTGCACTTTCACAAAACTTTGCAGAACATACTTTGTTGGAGGACTTGACAAATCATTTCACTGAAAGCCTTCAAGTTCTGCAATCCCATTGTATGGGAGAAGGTACCCTTCATTTCAACACACATACTATATCAGAAACTGAAGACGTCGGTATGTTCAACAACAAGATCAACAACAGTCAGTTTCTAGTACATCAATTTCTGCCAATTCTGGAACAGAATCCTTAAATATAACGAGTGAATGATGCCACGAAGAAATCAACAAGTGGACAACATCATTAGAACCGTGGAACAAGTGTTGCTCTTGTTGATACAACCACTTCCTTCGATCTGAAGCTTAAACCTTTTTATCAAAATTCATCTGTTAGATGTGTCAGATTTGGAAATTCTATTCTGAGTGATAGCCTATCAAGTTGGTTCATGCAACACGACAGACCCTTCAAATCAATGTTTTCCTCAGTTAAACCCCATAAATTCTCTGTCAATAGCCTGTAAACTGTTCTGGACTGTCGAAAATGTGTGAACATTCTCAAAATCTCTAGGGCAATCTGGAGCATCGAGCCAGCATCTGAATGCTGAAATGTTCAGTCATTGGACCCTTCAGTGAACAAGGTCCCCTCTGGAGGCATCACCCAAACCATCAGGACAGTACTTAGCCCATATATTCCTTACAAATCAGAACCCATGCACAAACTGCAATGTCAGCAACTCTGGTTAATGGCAAAATACATCATGTCCTTAATTTGAAGCATCTACACCAGTGTGGAACATTCTCTGTCATACAGCAAATTTACAGCTCCCTCAGCCAATGCAAGCCATTTACCTTTCATCAGGAAACTATCAGTTCTCAAGGAGACAAGGAAGTCCCCATTCAGGATAGCTTAACACATCGCCTACCTTCATCAATTGACAATTAAGGGTAGGCAGCATGCTTGGGTTTATAATTCAATTAACAGCTTGACTAATCACAGGAAGTTGACCTCCTTACTGACCTCCCAGGGGTCAACTCTCACTGACACAAAGGCCACCCCACTCCCTTGCTTAGCTGTGAGGGACTGCCTGACCTCCAGATGTGTGCGATTATACACAGCAGGGGTGGCCAAGCGTGACTGCTTACTGCTTCTTTAGCCAGAGGTGGTTGAGGATGGGTGGTGATAGAATTTCAAAATGTTCAGATAACATTTTTAATGAGCATATAAGTGTGCCTTTTCTTCAGCTCCAGATGAAAATGGCCTTTTAAATGAGATACCACATGTGAGGACTTTTTCAAGAATTTGTTTTTTAACTCGGTCGCTTGTTAACATAACTTAAACAAATTTAAATATACAAACATCAGCAAGAGTTTGAACAAAAGTTACGTCAAACCACCCTTTCACAAAATCCACCACATATCCAAGAAGTTCGTTAAGAACCATTTTGCGATACATATCCCGATATGAGCAAATAATCTCAATTCATAACCATGAAATTCTATCGAACCATCCAGAAAATAATTCCCCATTTTCCTGTAATCAGAAGTGATTTCATTTTAAAGTCAACATGTCAAAACTGTAAATTTGCGCACAGGGTTAACTATTCGCCACAGCGATTACAAGACGAGGAAAAACTTTCTTTCAGCTTTGCACCAAGCCGGCAAGAGGCACACACAAACTAGCATCCAAACAAGGGTCATTTCTACAGCTTTTCTAAGGTATGTTTGGTTCTCAACAATGGAGTATAATGAGCCTCAGCAATCCTTCAACACAGGCATGGCAGTGTACTCACCCACATGCAAGGGGCATATAGACTTTAAACAGGCTTTTGATGAACAGTTAACTTATTGTCGCTTATGGGAATATGTTCAGATTTATCCCAGGCCTTATATCAACTTGATATTAGCATAGCTGCCAACTTTCCAAATTAGTATTATTATTTAGTTGCGAACTTCTGGTCAGGACCTTAAAGTCCAATGACCTTGTCTGCAGGACAATATATTATGTGATCAGAAACTTCATAATTTTATCACTTAGTTTCTATTTCTACTAAAGATACTTCTGATAATACGAGTGGATTGGACAGATGCAATACTATAAATAAACTTTATGCAAAGCCAATAAACAAGATGTGTTTGTAGTAGACAGTGTAAGGCTAAATAATGACCCTGTCTTTAGTCCTTGTGATTTGTTTTGTAGATTGACATATTATTTGTATAAATTTGTAATTTAGTTTCAAATTTGTAACAAATACGAAATATTCGGAACAGTTGGCAGCTATGTATTCGGCAATTGGTGAGAAAACTTACTCAACTTGCAGGAGCAACCTTTTAGGTAGAGCTGCCTTCTGATGCGGCTGAAGAAATGCTGAAGGAAAACTAATGACACCTTTCAGAGCTGTGTTTTGAGTCTTGCCACCAACATAAATATCCCTCCAAGTATTCAAAAAGCTCAATAAGTTTCTGAAGAGGTATCATATCCTTTTCTAACCCCTGAATGACATTACACAGATCCCAATTATATGAGAGTCTTGTTTTACGCTACTTTATATCAAGAATATCCTTCATGCAAAGTACCCATAAGGGAATCAAACCCGGGGCTCTGATGTGATGAGCAAACACCCTAACCTCTAGGCTTCACCATTCCTCCCAGTTTGAGGACAAAAAGGCAGTTTCAGGAAATGTAAAGAGGGCTCAGTACTGAACTAAACATGAAAACAATATCACTTATCCAAAGATGACTTTGGAAATGAGTCTACAGCATGGCCCAAAAAGCTCTTGAAAGCCAATCAACAATGAACTTCATTCTTAACAGAAGCCAATTAACAGTGAACTTCATTCAACATAAACAGTTGTCATTTAAAACCTGAAATATGACCCAACAGCCTAAGCAAGTCTAGGAGACCTTCAACTTGCCAGTGAGCTTGAAGACTTTGTGAACGAGGGGAAAGAGTAAACTGTATATATTTAATTAAAACCACTGAACCCTCAGAGATGATCGACTGGGGAATTCCTCCCCAGTGACTCAGACAGTGACAGGAACCTTATAAATAACTTGTTATCACTTCAATATACAGTATCATCCACAGAAAGACAATGGAAGAAACAACGTGAGATGATTCATGCATTCATCACAAAACCCAACTTGAAATGTATTCATATCATATCTTTGCATAATGTTATCATCTCTTGGAGCTACAACCAATGAGGACTACTTTGATTAATGCTTTTGAAATTTCTGAGTGGGGTTTTAGGGATCTCTACTTTGCATGGGAAAATTTAAAATGGGCTGTCGTAAAACATGCTAAATTGGCCTGACTAAATATTGATTAAATTAACAAGGATCAGCTGAGGCGACTAAAATGTTCACACGTCCAAACAAATCGCCTCAAAAGGGTGCAATAGATGCTGTGAGACAGAAGTAATCATTTTTGCAATAAAAGTTGAAGTTTACGACTAAATGCTCAGAAATAGTCAACCAATCAATAATCGTGTGATCGCAAGGAGATAAAAATGTTAAACATTCGGAAATATTTTTTTCCATTTCATATTCATGGTTTCTATGAATCATTGACCATTTCAATGCAACGAGGAACAATTTAATGCAAAAGAGAAATTTATACCAATCCCTATTTGGATAGGAAATTGGAATTCCAGATAATTGTTTTGG